GCTGAGCGGGGCGGTGCCGGTGGCTGTGATGGGCGGGGCGGGCGGTGCCGATGGCTGTGGTTAGCGGGGCGGAACGGTACCAGTGCCTGGGGTGAGCAAAGCCGGTTGCTGATGACAACGTCGCGGTGGCGCCGGTACCGCCCGGTGAGGCTTGTGTTGTGACGCCGGCCGTTCAGATCCAGCTGCGGGCTGCAGAGTCCCGGGCCAGCCCCGCTGGCCCGCCTGCCAGCTGACGCCGGGGCTCTCCCATCGGCGAAGGGGGAGGGGGAGGGGGCACCTGCAAGCTGTGTAGGCCAAGGCAAGGGCGGGCAATAGAGGAGTGGGGTGAGTACGAGACGGAGAGGGGAAGCAGATCATACATTACGACTGGGCTAAAGGCCAGCCTTATTCCGATGGTCTGTGTTATGGGCATCATCGTAATATTCGAACCGAAGCACTCGCCATAATTCTTGATGTTTTTTATAGGAAATATCCACTCCCCTTAACACTATGCATTAATACTATTGCATAAGCACAATTTAACCAACCACGAACAGAACCGGGCATGTTCCATACATGTAGAGGCGGTGATCTCATCTGCCCATCCGGGGGTCGAAATTCTCTCGAGCGCGTGACCTTGACATAGCTCAGGATGTCCTCGTCGACCGTCCGCTCGGCTGATCTCAATGTCAAAACGGAAGATGGACCAGAGGTGCGTCGCTGCGGTGATTGTTCATCACAGATCAAGCGAGGAAGCAGAAACAAAGGCCAATATCATTAGCGTGGTGGCCCGCCACCCACCCCGAAGTAAACAATGGCTCCAGCGGACGTGCAGCGGCATTCGAAAGGAGCCGCCATGATTCAGCTTTGCAGCGATGCCGGAGATATCTCTCACTGTTATCAGCAATGCGCAAGAAAGATTTGAAAAAGAATAACTAGGCGTTGTAGGCACGGGACTTGCAAGCGACGAAAGTATTGTCATGGATTCCAAGGACCGCATAACATTTGAGTAACCTATTCATATATCGGGTCTCATTCTCGTCGTCCTCGCCTCCGTTCGGAGCCTTCTCTCGGTGATTTAGGAGTTTCCAAACGTTGATTTCATCTCGTCGAGTTGGATTAGGACAGTGCGCTGGTGACTATGTCGGAATGGTGCACGTTTGCACACATGATGCCCACCTACAACACGGTGTTTTACAGACGTCACAAAATCAGGGCTCTTATAAGGAGCTTGATATAAGAAAAAGACCTTCAGCTCCTTTTTATTGGGCATTATCGGATAAGAGTTGAACATAACTATACATATAAAAATGAGTATAACTATACATAGCATAAGCATAACTGAACATAGCTTGAAGCAATCGTGAGCATCAGTCCAGCTTGAAGCGTCAATGCGGTCAACATAGCCAATTTTTGCACCCTAACATCATTTAACCAGTACCCCATGATATCTTCGAAGTCGATGGCCCAGAGTAAGAGCTCCGAACTGATCAGACTTATAGGGAAAACAGGCAGACAGGCAACAGGCAGTCTGGTTCTTTCCGTGTCTCGTCGAAATACAGGGGTGTTTTATGCCGTACGAATTAGTCCGGTAATTGTCGACTAAATCTACTGGTTTCAGGCATTTTAGATTGTCCTTTCACTGCAGTAACACTACAGAAGAGGAAATGGATGCATATACCATTATTTGCTTACACCAGTGGCCGAACAATGTCGATCACATTTGATCTGTTACGCTATTTAATCAAAAATGTGGGCTACTGCTCAGCTAGAGACTTCGTTCTAGCCCAGCTCGCAAAAACCTGCACCCAGCAGCTGGCTGACATGGGGCAATCCAGCCAGCCAGCTCAGCGCTACTGAAGTTCACGGCGCGGAAAATAGCCCGGCCGCCCTGCGCTGACGCAAACGACGTCGCCGGCAGGTCCGGGCGCACCTTGACTCGATTCCCATCCGACCAGGCCGCAGTAACCAGTCGCAAATACACGCTCTTGTGCAAGCGCTGCGGGCACCGTCCGCTGTTTGGCGTCACTCTCATTTTCTGCAGGCCGCTGGTTAGCCGAACCGTGGGGAAGCCTGGCGCCGCCACGGTCATTTGCTAGCAACGACCACTGGCATCAACTCAGCTGATTCCCGGGGACTGTTACCGGCTTTCGTCAAATATCAGACGCTGGGGGAATCGTGTTTCAAGCATAACTGGAAGCGTGTGATGTTTCGACTCGTGGCAATCAGCGCCCAATGCTACGTGTGTGACCTTGCGATGCAAATTATACTAGTGGTCACATGTTCTTTCTCACCTCAGAAGCGATGTATGACAACGCATGCACACGGGTTAAAAACAAGACCTCGACACTGCCGCAGCGAAGCAAAAGAAACGTTGCAGAACCATCACGCAACGGAATGTCACATGAGATTAGACCTAATCATGGTGCAAGGGCACAACTTACGCTTAGGCACTTTGCAGAGCCAGAATGTAACAACATTCCGCATGAAATCAAGCCCGCTTTAACTGTAAGGGTAGGCTTGATATGTGGGGGTAGCGATAGACTCAACAAGGACGCTCGTGCAAGTGTACAATGCCATGGCATGTACTGTAATCCGTCCGGCTGTTTTAATCTTTCAGCTCAAAACGAAGGCAAATGTAACTCTTCTATCCCATTAGCAAACCCCAATCCCTTTGTTCTTCGCACAATGTCATTAATCTACACGCTGTTTTCGGCGCTTGCTCGTCCTCCACCGCAACTTCAATTAGTAATAAATGCTCGTCCCTGCACCACGGACACCATTGCACTTAACATCGATTAGAGGCAATCATTCCCGCAATTGATGGGCTTACGGCACATCGCATGCACTGGAGTCATCGGGTGGACGATTTCGTCTCGTACGGTTCCGGGCCAGGTCAGCCGGACTCAGGGGCGGGGCACAGGTCGGAGGACGCTGGCGCCACCAGGGCCATCAGCCGGACTCAGGGGCGGGGCACGGGGACCGGGGGACACTGGCGCCACCAGGGCCAGGGGCGCCGAGGCGCCGCCGACGACAGCGGGCAGGGTCGCGCCCCGCTGATGATGTGTCGGGGAGGTCATAGACGTGAGGTGTTTGGCTTCTGACGACGCATGCTCGCAGGAGTTTGACACTAGGTCACATGACGCCTCCTGCTCAGAAGTGACGCACCATCATTTGTGTATGATGTTGATGATTATGCTATGGCACTCCAAGTAAATGATCGCGCTTAGTAGTGTACTCGTACTCGGGCAAAAAGCCATTAGCGAGAAGAGCAAAAGAGCAGTGGTAAATCATTAACTGTGAGCCGTTTGCCGTGACGTGACGATAGTTCTGCGCATGAGTGGCATTGAATGGTCAGAAGCGTACCCCCAGAATAATGCTGAGTCTTTTCAGCTGCTGATCAAAGAGGCCTATTGCGCCGTGATTCTATAAAAACAACAACAAATACTATGGATTGCTGACGTTGGTCAGCTAACGTCAAAGCTTTTAAAAACTGAGTGGCATTAGAACTTCGACGGTTGAATTTGCGTTCGCCGATGCATGCCATGGTTCGGATTCAACGATGGCAGCCATCCTAAACGTCAGCTCACCACAACTAGCGTTCACCAGTAGAGAATGAGACACCGCGGCACATCAGCAGTTCAAACCCAATGGTTCCCTGACCCGTGAAATCCTGTCACCTGGCAACATCAGTGAGCTGTGGATTCTGGACTTGGTGCCCAGAATCCTCATTGCTTAATCCGTGATTCATAGTGCGATGCAGAACCTTGATGAAGGTTAACACGCGCTCGGCTGGACAGCGGAATACGACGCGGCCGGGTAGAGTTGGGATGGATCAGTGTGGTCCCCTTACATAAAAAATACCAGAGTAAAAATACCAAAATACCAAAAATGACAACAATACCACTGGCAGAACATACCAGTAAAAAACATGCACCAAATCTACAGTGTAGTAGTTAGGGATCCATGCAAACTCAGCTGTCTTAAATTCATTGGTCCCAAGGGGGTGATCTCCGGTTCAAATAAGGTCAAATTCGAGAGTGATGTCTCAAGTGCTTTCGCACCGCCTCACAATCAGGTTTCACCTAGATGTCTTTCCTAAACAAAAGGTCACTCGGTATCATATCAAGTCATTTTCCTAACTCGGCTATTAGCGAGTCAGAATGACTAAAATACTTTGACTTTATTCTAGCATTTGAATTTACAGCCAGCATCAAGAGCTAGGTGGCACGTTCCACAAAGCAAAAGGCTGGTAGGGATCATTTTAGGCAAACCTTCATGAAGTCAAAGTAACGAATTTGTTGAGGCCCTTCCGATTAAAAAATTGAAATAAATGTCAAAAGGTATCCCGTAAAGCAAGCTTTTCAATGAAAAAACGGTGTAGCTTTTGACTTGACCTGACATTTATATCTGGCCTGAGGTCAAAGAAATTAGTCATAATCAAAGTCTGAATAGTATAATAGTCTAAGCAGCCATCTTAAAGTCATATGAAGTCATTTTACATTCCACTGTCGCGTCAGCTCGAAAAATTCCTTTAAATTTTCTTCCGCGACTTCATGGCTTGACTTCGACCGGCGAGAGGTCAACGACCTTATGAAGTATATCTGATTGTTGTTGTCCAAAGATTGGCTATTCAAATGTCTACAGCCAGGTAAACTTCTATGTGGCCACACGTCACCGTCCGGAAGTTATTCTGAAAAACGCTCAGGTGCGTCGAGTTCCCCGCCCCGACGCATGTTAAACTCTGGCTGAACTTCGTCGATCTAGTCTGCTCCGCACATGATCAAGCGTGCCAACATCCCACCAGTCAGCGCTCCATGACGCTTCTCCTCTCAGGCGGGCATCTGTTTAGTGATTCCCACGGTTTCACGGGCCAGGGCACGATGCTCACAGAGCCCGGGCGATGCCGGCCTGGTGTCAGGAGGGGAAAGAGAGAGGCGTGGCTTCGGGTTACTGACTGCGAACGAGCGTGTCACGATTCGGCCGTTTCCCCTTTAATTATCGAATCATACCACAATAAATCGCACAGCACAATGGATGCATATATTCGATCAGTAATATCAGCAGGGTTAAAACATCATCAAGTTCGCAATCATTCACCGCCCTTCATCGCATATGCATGTCACAAGCGACAACATAAGCCTAAGCCATTCCGCTCGGCAATGAACATTCACAAACACGCAACAACACAAAAGTCACTATCGAGGAAGCCAGCTGTCTCTGGCTCTAGCAATCACAGGCACTTGGTCGAGTCTCTGACTAGTTTGATGACGTCACGACGACGTTTGATGACGTCACGGTTCACCGTGTAGTCGGGGGTCGGCTTCACGGCAGTCGCGCCCATCCCGTCACATCTGGAAGGGATGTTTGTTTCGTCATTGTTGGACCTTATACACCAATAAATGGGTCGAGTGGAAACCTTTGAGGCTAATATGTCAACAATTAAGTAATATTTGCTGCATTTTGTTTTAATAACTTAATAACCTAACTTCCCATTCGAACTGAGCCAGCCAACATGCACAAGAAGCGACGTTGAAGACGACTAGTGAGAGAAAAATGACTGAAACTGTATGTTTTTAATCTATTTACTTCACAATTTATTTAGCCCCATCCTCAGATATCCAGGTATGGACGAATACCAGTACCTTTCTATGTCACTGTCCCAATCTTAGACTGAGAGGAGGGGATCTTGAGACACACAAATGTCAACAGGGAATCCAACTTTGAACTACAGTTATCCTGTGCACCTGAGTTCTCCAGAACAGAATGGTGCGCAGAAATTACTCTTTTTGATCGCATGCTTTATCAGGGGCAGAGGTGACACGAATGTCTGGCCGTCCCAGGAGTGGATGCGGAGCTCATGTTAGCCTGATGAAACCGAAGAACATCCATATCTCACTGCAGCAAAATAGCTGAACTTTACGTTGCATTACGGCGAAGTTTAACCTTTCTGGGAAGCACATACGTTAGCACTCATTTTGCTAATTATTTTTTTGATTTCGACGCTTACCACAAATTGGCCTGAGTAGTCTCAGAAGAATGCCAAGCAGGAGGACACCATGTAAGCTGGTGCTCAACTGACTTCGATGAGAAGAGCCTGGAATAACCATGCTGGTGATTCATTGAGCTCAAGATTCTAGTTTGTCATATTAAAACCGTCCCTTACGAACATGTGCTTGTACAAGACCCCAAGCGTTACGCAGTACGAGAGCTTCACAGCAGGTGAGTTTAGTTTGTTGCCCCGCACCTGACATGATACAAATGAACCTGGGTTTGATTTCCTTATAACAATAAACAAAATATAATTCAGTCTCTATAAATCCAGGCAATAGACAATGGCAGCGTAGGGCGTCAAAATTCAAATAGTTTTGACATTTTACCTGCGAGCCTCCGTAAAGATCGTCCTGAAAAGGAGACAACCGTCAGTAAAGCAATCGTATGACCACACCAGGTGGTGGAAAATAAAACGGCAATGATTCTTCATTTATTATTAGCGCAACTATGAGAAGACGCAGCCGATGAACACTTTACTGCTGTTCGCTTTTTTGGAAATAAATGTTTTCCATTTAATATCGAATGGAATGGCATGAGCTGGACAGCTGTAACTTTCTTAAACAAGTCAATATTTCAAATTACGGTGGTTTTAAGAGAACACACATTAGGCAATAAGTCAATTTTACATAAGCTATCCAGTGCATTAGCGAGGAGCATTATTCACTAAGCTAAGGCAGAAGTATTAGCCTTATTCCAAGGAGAAAACCAGGAGAATGGAAGCATCAACCCAACTATATTTCCATTCTCCTGGTTTTTCGCCGAGGAATAAGGCTAATGCTACTGTCTTATCTAAATAAATTAATTTTTATGCACTAGGAACGACAACAAGGAAACATTCACACGTTCACTGTGTTCCGCACAGATCGAGAATCTGAATGGATTGGCACTTGGCCAATAAATCATGGACGTGTTAATGGAACTGCGAATGAAAATGGTTACCTCACCTGCAAACTTTTGCTTGCGTCCAAATATCGGAGTCGTTGAATGGGATGCGGCCCCTGTAAATATGGAACAGTACTTAATGACTCGGAAGCTCCAGATGTTAAATAAGAAGCAAAAAAATAAAAAAATAAATATGGCACGAGACGCAGTGCTCTCAAACTAACGTTTGACCTGTAAATAAGACTTATATTGTTGATGATAGCAAACGAAAAAAATGTAGCAATCTGACAAAAGTAGCATTGAACCCCACATGACAGCAGTGCAGAAGATTACGACTGATGACGCACACACTTTTCAAACTATACAGCGTGTTCCATTGGCCGTTAAAGCTATTTTATGACTGAAACACATGCACCTATAAATCTTGCGTGCCATAATCTCATAGAAACTTCGGTCTTCATGGCTTTACACTTCTTATCAGATAACAACGCTTTGAGTTTTTCGTCCGCGGCGGACAGTTTTTACTGACCAGGTGTACGCGTCGCGTCCCGCATAACCAGTTCTATTGCGTTGATAACATCGTAAATCACGATATCGACATAGGAAAAACCAAAGTTTTTAACTTACTTCAGCCAACCACATTCATCACGTATATCCATGTGCTATCACATCGCCTTTTTGCAGCGTTCATTTCCTGCCCCACAGCTTACAAGCCAACGCATAATCGGCAATACATTTCTAACTGACATTAGTGATGACAATGATACCCAATGATAGATAAATGCCTGACCAAATAAATCATGAAAATGGAGACCTTCGAGCCTGAGAGGCTTGTTCTAATGTTTTGCAGTTAAAAGACGGCCGCAGTTTGCATACAAATTGAGTCCGTTTTAGTCTCACCCAGTGACTCCTGTCGAAAAATAAACATCTGTTAAGATATTCCCCGTCTTATAAAAAATACTCAGAATTACCTGCGCCTCAGTTTCGACAACTTTGCTTTTTTCTCGCTGGCCTCTCGCTTTGAAGAGTTCGATCTTATTATTCGTCTGTAGCTAGATTAAATAAGTCAGATGTAACAATGTCGCCTCGCTGCAAACGTATGAACATTGAGTTTTTCTGTACTTGAAATCTGTGCAAACACATCGGACGCATTTAATCACTAAAAAATGAAACCTGGCATTCGTATTCGCAGTAACTTTCTATCCTCGCCAGCCACAACTGCGTTGTGAACCGATAAGCACGCGCCTGTCTTCCTAGCGGGTACACACCTCTGATGTGCGGTATCTTCTCTGACACCGAGTAGCCGGTGTGCGGCAGGACGAGCAGACAGTGGATCAGACACTGGGCAGGGATCTGCCTGTCGTCCAGCTGCTTGGTCACCCGGACGCTGTAGGCGCCGTCCACTAGCGCCTTCGTCACTTGTAGGCCCCTCAGCCGCTCCCTGTCGATACCGGCAACGGTCATTGGCTGCGCTGGTACGCCTCACGGTGGTGCCGTGCTGGTCAGGGCCCGTACAGTGTGAGGCGGATAGTTGTTTCCCCGATGGATCAGTCAGCAGGCGGGAAATGTTGCAGCTGTGACGGTCACCAACCAGCCCTGCACGGCCAGGGCTAGTTAGGATTATGCAAGCCAAATTTCTGGGCCTTGAAGGGATGTGAAACATTGCGGTATAATCTTACACCGGCGTCTGACCTAATTTATAATTCTGCTGTGGACTGACGACACAATTAGTGTTGGTGAAAGTGTATCGCTGCTTGCAAGCGGGACATTGAGCTACTGGTAACGTAGTGGCTACGCTGCACGACTGGAAAGAAACAGAGGTTCTATTTCGCGCGTTGCCCGCCATTCCCACCAGGGTGAGAAACAGCCGACGCACAACGTATGACTGAATGCGTCGCTGAGGTCCAATTACGACAAGACGGGACATCAGTGCGGTGCAATTTGTGCTGCATGCTGAAATAGCTGCTCATGTAAATAAACCTATTACGACCACGTCGTCATTCAAGGAGCGTATGGCGTGATGTCCGACATGAATACTACATCTCTTGCAATGATCGGTATCGTCGACGTCACTAGGGCTTTACGACGCATTCAGCTGCTGAGGCTGTACGACATCGCCTGCCTCTCACCCTGGCAGGAAGGACGAGCAACGCAGATAACCAAATCAGTACCTCTACTTTCTCAGCCGCGCAGCCTAAACACTACACTGCTGTGGCGGTACCCTTATAATTGGTGTCAAAATTGATGCGGCAGGGTAACTTGATGCGCCCTGAACCATATTCCTAGGATATACTGTAATGATACTGGAGGCGTGAAGCTGCTCATTTTCGAGTGTTTTTTACACCTTGTGTCTGGCGTATTTACGCCCAGAAACGCTAGTAACAAGACAGTTCTTTTTTTGCACGAGAACGTATTATTAAAAAAAAATCTTATTGGTTTTAGATATCTTGATGACTGTCCAAATTGATGCTTTGTGTGGCTACGCATGGCATAAGGCGCACACGTGTGTATAACAAGGAGCTAAATATTAAGTATGTGCTACCTAAATCGCGTAGACAGCGTGACCCTTGTGGAAGAGGGCTAGTGCATCTGATATACATTAGTACAAAAACTGCGTTATGGCGTTTAGCCTGTACTGTACAACTGCGCTCCTTATTTGATTGGGAGTTATATGATGGTAGATGCACCATCTACTGCAGAAGGGAGCGTAAATCATATTTTTACCGCAAATGTGCGGCAGCCTTTATCTTGTCGTAACGAGACAGATTACCCAAGCACCGTCTGAGAACTGGGGTTGTAGTATTTTTCTTCGTGCCTCGAGATCATTGTGGTTGCGATACGTGGCCGCCAGCAGGAAAATCCTGTATGATTTTTGCTGGCTTCGTCCAATACACGAGAGGCGGTGCCTCCCGCCTCCCAGGGTAGCGTGCGGCTAAGCTGGGATAAGTGTCGCTCCCGGATCCGTCAGCTGGGTTTGGTGTCGCGCACGAATCGGTCAGCTGGGTTTGGTGTCGCTCCCAGATCGGTCAGCTGGGTTTGGTGTCGCTCCCGGATCGGTCAGCTGGGTTTAGTATCGCTCCCGGATCGGTCAGTAGTCAGTTGAGCTGTGTGTCCACGGTTGCTGCAACTGATCTGACATGCTGGGTACTTGGCCGCATTTACGTTTTTGTTGCTTGGTGTCTTTAAACAGGATAGTGTTAAATACGGCTGAGCAAAAATGATCGCGCCGAACAACCAGATCTAAAGTTGCTGATTGGAGGATGCTTAGACGATGCAACGAATGTTTTCAAACGTACTGAAAAGTTTCGATGATTATTTCTTTTGTTACTTCCTATGCGATGTGCATTGTATGAGACTGTACAGACGACCATGCGTTGTTTGGTGCCGCTCTTTCAGCATACAAACCCAAATGGGTGCTATAAAAAGGACAAAAACGAAGGCTATGACCAGAGAAACAGCAACACAAGTTCTAATGCGAAGCATTTCGTGTCTTGTAAAAGATTATGTCGAAATATCCGCCCCTTTAACCTGGTGTCAGCTGTTTAACGACCTTAAGGATTCACACCATAATTTATAACAATGACCATAGCAAAATATTCGCCCACCCGTAAGGCCTTTAGTGTTGGTGACGGTAAATATCGCAAAACTGTGTACTCAGAATAAACACCAGCAGTCGACAGCACAACGCTACGTTGTCCCACTGGAAAGTCATTAAAATAACACAGATGCCTGGCTGAACCTGCGTACATACTATAGCCGTCGAGCAACATAGCAGCACAGTAACCGCCGTCAAGTTTTATCTATCCTGTCCTCTGTCATTTATCATGAGTCCACAAAAATCCATTAAACATGTTGAAACACCAGGAAAATAAGGGGCCTTGAAATCAATGGGGATCCTTCATCTACAGCACATAACGGATCTTCGCCTTGCCGTTGTGTGATTACCTGCTGGATTGCGATCCCTGGACCACTATGCTGACCTCAGGCTCCGGGTACATGCCCTCAGCCTGGCAGGTCAAGGTCACTCGGTGCGACGACGGTTTTGAGGTCGATATACTCATCGTCTTGACCGGAGCTGAAACAGAACCCCCGTTCCGTTAGGCTCGGCTGCTTCGCGTGTCGGTTAGCTGAGAGATGCTGCTGAGATAAGTGCTGCTCGAAACCATTTTGGAATAAATGACTTGTCCCCCTAAAATCATAACACTTCTGACTGATCACTCGAAGCAAGGGCTTTATCGCTCGCCCCTCACCAAATTGATTCCGGCGCTCCAAGGGTGTGAACGGGACCTGCTTAATTAACATCGCAGGTTCGGATCAGATGTTCACGGGCTCTCCTATCGGTCCGGTTCGATTGTTCATGAAACCGGTTGGACCCGTCCCACTTGCTCCAGGTGACCACCCGTTTGGTGGACGCTGTCGTCCTGGATCAGTCCCAGTGAATCATTGAACCGTTTCCCCGCAGATGATAGCCTGTTTGGGACATACTGTTCGCCGAAAATGATCATTCGTTGAGCGCAGGCCACTCAACGTAGATGACTATGCGATTGGTGGATAACATCGCCCCGGATCAGCTTCATTGAACCATGAACCCATTTGACCCACTGTAGATGACCATCCGTTTAGTGGAGACCACTCACTGCCCCAAATGACGGTCCGTTGCCCTCAGGCCACTCACCGTAGATGACCATCCGTTTGGTGGATGAGGCCACACCTGACCACGTGGTGACCTTGCAGGTGAACTCCCCGCTCAGCTCTGGTCGCGGCTGGATCAGCTGAACAGCTCGGTGACGCATCAGCGGGTCTTCGCTGGCCACGTGACCCAGGTTGACGTGACCTCGGAGCAGGCCGAACGCCTGCGGCGGGTAGCCGGGGATCCACTGGTAGACGGGCGCCGGGCTGCGGTTGTGGTACCACTTGACCACCAGGCCGGAGGCGGTGTTGTTGGGCGTGTCCAGCGCGTACAGGCAGTCGAGTACGACGCTGGGCACGGAGCCGTTGAGTACCGTAGAGGGCACGGACAGCTCCGTGATCTGCACAGACTGCACGCCTGCAACGAGACCGGCAGACGACAGAGTTATCGCATGTTCTGGACACTTTGACTGCATGTTCGGATGTTGATGATGAGTCTTTGACCACAGCATACTCAGTTTAGAAACAGTGATAAAAAAATTTTGGTGCGTTGCTTACCAAATCCATGCTGAAGCTAACCAAACATGATACGTGTGATCAATATTCCCGTTCGTTGTCAGTCAACGCCACAATGTCATGATGACGCCACAGGCCGTTCTTTTCTACAGCAGCTTTGATTGGCACCATCATGTGAGATGCGCACTGCCTGCCAACGCTCTCGTCCCCTCCCTAAACAGCTGTCGGGAACGTTCTAGTGACGTTGCGATTGCTCCTGTGCACGTGAGTTTTCATTGGGCTTTCAATAACCCATTTATTTCGGGAACAGTAATTACAAACTCTTGTCATCTAGGTGTCGCCATGATTTATGATGCGCCGAGGCGAACATATGTTTTATGTCGATAACGATGGACATAGGGTCTGCTCTTCTAATTGTGTTGTAATCTGTTGTTTATGAGCGACCTTTGAAGCCTTTTCATTCGACTAACCGATTTCTCAGTCAGGGGTAGATATTGCACCGATATCAGGATGGCCTGTTGCTACGCCCTTCGGATGAAATAGTGCGCCGAAATAGCCGGGTTATCGAAATGGTCATAATACCGATTCCACATTGATTTAGGTTATATCAATGTCAATAGAATAAGAGTCGCTCATCTAACGCAGCTCTGCTCCAGTACATAAATTCCACGGGAGCTCCACTAATCACACGTTGCCTCAAGGGATTTAACTTAAGGGCCGCGAACAAGGCTATTTCTCAAAAGTCTGGCTGTTTCCCCAGCGCATTTCGGCTGTATTTTAACAAGGACTTGGAACCATTCAGCGTCTTACCGCGATTTTCACGCCGGCTGACCGCACAACTTCTCCGATAACATCAAACATCTTCCAATGCCTCGCAGCACGCGCTATTAACTATACTGAACGGCTTCACCGAACCATCTGTCCATACCAGAACTGTAGTTCGGCATCAGAGCAGCTCGCCGCAGCGTTCGTGAGTGCAGCCCAGCCGAGTTGCTCCCCCTCGCTGGCCTCCTGCAGAGGTGGAGTGCGGCCGTTGGCGCCCCCTCCCCCCCCCCCCTCTCCGGGGCCGGCGAGGCGGACCGGGAGGAGCGATGTTGCGATCCTGACCGCGTCGGCCCGCCCCCGGCAGTCGGGCACGAGTTACGGCGCGTGCTACGACCCCCGTTCTCGTGTTCAGCACTCGCGCCCCCGCCGCCGGGACGGGCGGCGGCGCCGGCACGCTCGCGCCGGTGGCTGATGTCGGTGGGATCGGCAGCACCGACCGTTTAGCGAATTTAGCTGTCGGGGATGAGTTACAACGCACATAGCATCTCAGCGTGATGCGGCGAACTGAGCCCGTTATTCACCGCGCTCTGCATGATATCTTGCCAGCAGGCTCACGAAGCACAACATTAAACGTTCATGGCTGGTTTGCAGAAGCCTACTGCCCAGTTCATAGGTCCGGAACTCGGCATCAAATGCGCTTGCTGCTCGGAATCGCAGGGTGACGATGGAGATCCTTGACGATAGTGATCCTTGACAATAGTGATCCTTGCGACGCGTATTTAACATTTCGTGGATACAGAGCACAAACAGGAAGCTTATTCGGTTTTAAAAATAGCGGCACTCTGCTTGGAAAGTCATCGTTTCGTACATCCGCATCGCCAATCTATGTCAGCATTGCATGAATAACTGTGGAATCTGGTACAAGATGCATCTCAACGTCTCAGACCGTGAGAGGGCTAGGTCAGCGTATAGGTCAGCCCCGGAACTGCTTGCCCGAGACTCGACCGTCGCCCCTTTTGCTATGCCATCGGGGTGGAAGGGCGCGGCGCCAAAGTTGCTGGACACCGAAGCTTAGCCGATAGCACCGGGTGCTCCCAACCGGGCCGCAAGCTATTTCATTTGGAGTCTTTCATCCGGGACTTCGACGCATTAAGTAGATAGCACCGGAAACTATAATGGAAAACAGCAAGACATCACTGCTGATTGCCGTGTGATGTGACGTCGCTAATCGTGGCGGAAATTAAATGAGCCTCCTGCTATTCATGCAATTTTCACGAAACTGGCGACGCGTCATCAGATAATTTGAGACGGTTCCCCAAATGCATGTGTCACAAGGAAAACCTCAAATGAGGCTTCTACGTCATTATGCAAATGTAAAACATTCGTGCAACTAGAAAACAACGATCCTCTTTGGCGGAGAGCCACAAATTAGCAGGCGCGGGACTCGATTGTGTGAGATGAACAGCCGCCGCAACACTGCATAAAGCATGTGTTCCCAGCACGGCGCCGGCCGTCGGCGTGTGTAACGTGTCGGCGATCTTGCTCGCGGTCCCCGATCACCGAGAGAAATATGACGACGCAAGGTATGCCTCACGCCGTAGGGGAGCCCGATAAACATATCCCGTCTGAGGCCCGGCCGCGAGATATGACCGCGCCGGCAATCGTCCCCGCCCATTACAGTGAGGGGCGTCGCACCACGCAGCAGGGTCCATCACGATTGGCCGGCGATCTTTCTGCACCCGTCGCCGATGATAAACCGTGGCGACGTTTATCCTCCAGTTCAAAGGGGGCTCGGCAGCGACGCCTCGCCCGTCCCATCTCGTCCAGTGCAGCGTCTCACGCCGTCCGGCGCTCCAGCCAGACGTCGGCACGAGAGTTGTCTCACCTCGCAGACAGGCGGACACGACAGCGAGCACGAGCAGCACCGCCATCGCCGCGGAGTTGACCCCGCCGGGGTCTCGTCAAAGTTCCGGCGTCGCCGGCGGTTTCGGCCCGGTGCGGCCCCACGCTGCGGAGGCGGAGCTGGCGTCGTCACAGCACGCGCGCACCGCTGCCAGCCGGTGGTCGGTCACGACTGAGCGCCCCTCCGCGGTGCACCTGCCCGGACAGCTGACCGGACACCACTGATCGGTCGGCGCCCGACGCGCACCCGGCCGCGCCGCAGGTGGTGACGTCTAGCGGCCGGCAGGAGAACGAGCGTCACCGGGGCCGATATCTCACCGTTTGCCATCGCGGATTCAGTTGGATGTGAAACTGGCATAGGGATGAAACAAGGGGAGACTACCCCATGCATTCACCACCTGTGGTGAAAGCGTGTTTGAATGGGCAGGGCACGTGACGTTGTAAGGACAATGCGTGTTTGGGTACAACGCCGTCATGAGAAACACTGGACTGATCGCGCGTAACTTCCGCCCTCAGGTGGGACGTCCCACTCCGCTCCCCCTGCTCACGTCATCTTGGAGCGTAAAATAGTGCATACTTGCCTCTTAAACATATAATGGTACTGTATAAAAGTGTTGCATACCTTTAGAGAATTTACAGAATGTTCTGACATAGATCGACTCCAGGTAGAGTTTTGTTTGAGTGATTTGGCCAGAGTTCTAGAGTTTGGCTGGTGTACTGAGCCGTGTATTTGACGACGGTGAAGTTTCATGACATTCAGATCTCTCACTCATTTGATGAGTCGTGGCTTTCGGAACAACATACATCTCATGCTTAACAAACGGTGCTCTGCAGTCGTTACTGACATGTATATTAAAAAGTACCACGGAAATTTCATTTAGAACCGCAAACCACAACATAATATGCAGCGGTGATAGCTGCTCCAATTTAGATCAATAAGAACAGCCAAAGGGTAAGACTTTTTGCACTGACACACAATTTTGGATTAGATTGGGCTTTTCGTTACCAATGCAAACGCATTTCATCACTATCAGTCGACACAATGACTTGGGAGGCGCACGTTCTGCCTTCATCAACGCATCCGCCGTGTCACATCGACAGTTGTGGAGTAATTCATGTATATCATAAGGCATCGGCATGCGTGAGCAGCTTACACCCATTCTGCTCTTCTCCTACCATTAATCCGGGCAAGGTGGAGTCGGCTTTAACTTGAAAAGTACAGCCATGTAACCAACCGGGTCTTATCTACAGATTGCTATCATGTACGTGCATCCAAAAACACGAGAAAAGACACCGCGGTACGTGTGAAGCAGTGGCGTATTCAGGATAGGATTGGAATTTCCTACCCAAGGCTAGGGTTGAGGCTGGAATTTTACTTTTGTACGGAGTCTTCTGATATCGCGATCAGATCGGAATATTCATATACCGCTTTTTGCTGCGAGCGGTAAAGATCTAAGAGCTTCATCGATCCTAATGATCTGTGTACCGGATGGTATCTGCAATTAGTCCACCGATCCAGCAACTATCACTTAATGGCTTGTGCTTCAATGCACGCAGCCCGTTATCGCTTCTTTTTACGACTGCTGGATCTCTTGAGAACTATGTCGCATTCGGTTTCATGTGAGTAAATGCATACGGCCTCCGCCGTTTCCGCGACACAAATCAAAGGCTTGTGTCATGTCATTAATCCCCAGTTATCCAGGTGACAGCTTGCCACGCCCTCATGGGCACGAGATTCAGTCACGCTCTAATTACTGCACTTTTGCAGCAGGTTATTTTGCAGTGCATATGGCGGCCGTACGCTACATCCCTCCTTGTTAAGGCTTGCGTTTAGATAGGAAAATGGCCTTATTAATTCAAAGTCAAACGTAAATAGTCAACCGAACCTCATGGCATGTTTACATGTTATGCCATTGGCACGCACCACGGTAATGAGCGAAATAAGGCATGTTGAACAACCGTCTTGATATAACCAGTTCAAAACAAAGCGGTTACCTTCACTACACAGTTACGACGACCGCACTTGAGATCCATCTTCCGGCCTCCGCCTTGCATGACCGCACGCGTCAGCAACACCTAACGCGTCCCACCCCGCACGTGACTGGCGTTTCTATTGCAGCGTAGAAGCTACCCTTCTTGCTGATGTCGCCCGCTGGCGTGATGTATCGTCCAGGCACAATGTGCTTCAGGTCTCGCCTCGAGTGCAAGATTGCCGGGATACCGTCAACGTGCAATTGGCTTCTTATCCATTATGCAAAAGGCCTCCATCGTCAAAGGAGACGGACAGTCGGGTATTAAGTGTCGCTCCCTTTTACGTGCGACAGATGCATGTTCTGTGTATGATTGATGACTTTTTTGTGTCAGGTGACACAAGCTTTGTGCTGCATGAGCTAAGAGGCGGATGATTATGATCGCCTTCAAAACCTGCAATTAGTCCCTCTGCACGAGCCTTGGACCTTGGACAAAGACCCACTTCTTCGCAGCCCTGGCGGCTGGTGGAAGCACTTTGGCATCTTTAAGATCAATCAATGTTGCATTAGCCTTCTTTTCGTGAGCTTTCTTTTCTTTTCGTTCCGAATTCGGTACATTGAACACCGGTATTTCCGTTCATTCTCACTCTCTCCTGTAAACTTCCGTTGACTTAAGAAATGCGACACATAGCTGGCACAAGCCTTGGGAGAGATCCACCGTAACATTTACTTGTGCAGTCATACCTGGCATACACCTCATACGGGTTACGCAGTTTCCGAGACACAAAGCAAAGCTTGAAACAAGACGCAGCGTAAGCGTGGCTTGAGCTCCACCTTTATGACGTCGGCCTTACCGGGGTAGACCTCCCTGCATTTCACGCCATCCCACCGCTCTTACGCCATTCCACTGCGACGGAATGTTAGCGTGTGGACGACCATCCACTCGCATTCCATTCTCCGCGCGATCGTATCGACGCCATTGACCACCGCGGCCGTTGCACGAGCGGTGCGCGCGTCGCACCCCGCCCAGAGCGCGGGGTTAACCAGCTCGGCTTGGCGGGGGCGCGCCTGGCGCGCCGTTACGACGGCGCGTAAGCCGGATATTACAGCGCCGCTGACCCGCCGGTGTCAGGAGGTCACGTGTAAGTGATAGCAGGCGGACCGATAAAACGTAACGACACGGCACACAGGCGGCGCCCGGAGCGTGGCCGGACGCCTATCGGTGCGGGCCGCGGGCGGTCTGCGGCGGTCGCACGGTCCTGGCGTGGGTGGAGTCGCCGGAGGAGGCTGCTCCCACGGCAGGTCAGGGTGGGGCCCGGGCACAGAGACGCCGGCCTCCGGCGATCGGAGCCCGCCCGGCTCTCGTATCGGCGCGACGCACGCAGAGGCAGTGGTGTGAGCGTGGTCCTGGGGGTCAGATCTCGGGTCGTCTGAGCCTGCTGGTTGGACGCCGGTGTGTACGCGGCGCCGGACGTCACAGGATTGCCTCGCCTCTTGACATGGCCGCAACACGTCGGATGGAGTGATGATGCATAACGTGTGCAATCAATCCCATGGTGCATTGTGCGCTGTTTAGGGTGGCATGGCACATTAGAGTAATGCTGGGGTGCAGAGTACAGCTCGATGGGCCGAGAGCATGCAACAGCGACGGCCGCTGTTGGGAACGAAATTATCTGACGACGTTCGCTGGCCGTCGGCTCAGCTCGGCTAGCACATCGCTGGCCGATGTGCTAGCCGAGCTGAGCCGACGGCCAGCCTGAGCTTTCTCTTAAACGTCGGCAGCTCCGACTTGGTGTTGTTTTGTTTGGATTAAAATTATTTCAGTCAGCAGTGACCACTCCGAAGCTATGGGATAAAAGGGAGCGAAGAGTTGTGGGGAAGGTTACATGCACCACAAAGTTACATGCAAGGCTACGTGGGACGAAAGAGTGGAGAGCTGCGGAGAAGGGTTACATGCACCTGGGAGTCCTCCGCTGCCGAGCCTTGTTCGCTCACGGACCCCTCTTCGGGCTGAGTGCCAGCGCTCGGGCGGGGCTCCCACCAGGGGGCACTTACGCCCGCTCATGGCCGATGCATGCGCCTTGCCCCGGATAAACGGGGCGTCGCGGCGATTCGGGACAAAGCGGCGAATGAGGAAAAACGGCGGGTGACCGCTATCATCTCACCGTTAAGAAGCTGCTGACCGTCTACCACAAGCCAAGCGCGCGGGCGAGACCTGCACATCGCGCCCCACCCCGCGAGCGTCGAACGCTGCTCATCAGCCCGCCGCCGTCCTCCGAGACAAAACAAACGCGCGGGTCGTGCGGCGCGCCCGCGCGGTCGCCGCGGCGCCGGGGCGGCCGGTCGGGCGCCTGCCCCCGGTAAACAGGCCATTTCTAAACACGGCCCGGTCACGAGCGGCGGCGGCCGGCCGCCTGGGCCGACGCTCCGCCCGCCCGCCGACCCTCGGCACTGGCAGCCAGCCGCCGAGCTAGCGGCGCTCCGGCGGCAGCCGGGCTTTAATTGTGGGCCGGACGCGCCAGCCCGCGCACGACTTTGTCTCTGTTTGGCCATTACGGCTGAAGAACTGCTCTCGTGGCGCCGTTCCAGTGGGTTCGAGCTATTTCAGAGCAGCTCGGAAATATTCATGACTCGGTGCGGGCGACGGCTGTCGCCGGTCTCCTACGGCCTGCCGCTCACGTTATCGTAATTGCCGAGTCACGCTCTGCTACCCTTGCCCAACAGAGGGTCGCACGGTATGAGCTCAGTGTCCAGGGGCCATCTCACTCGAGCGGCGGCCCCCACGCAGCGATGCCTTCCCAGGGTGGTCGGTTCGGCCGCGTGCAACGCACTCTTTGTGCTCACGGCCGGTTTTTCTCTCGGCTCTGAAACCACAGGGCGCAGGACACCGATTAGTTGGGAGGCGAGGACAAAGGGCGAGGAGCACCATCGGATGATGGCTTGTTTTCACTTCCATTGCGTGCGGCCCCACCTCGCTGGATGGGAGATTATCTGCCGTCGTCACTGTAATGATGGCTATTGTCTCCCTAAGTGGTCTAATTTTTACGCGTCGGGTGAACACGGTGACATGACGTTCGGCACCGAACTGCCATCTGTCCGCGGCCTCAGGAAGCTTTTCGCCCGACTGGTGCGGGACATTTGTACATAGAGGTAAACGCCACCAGGGTAGCATTCTTTTGACGCCCACTAGCATTAAGTGTGCGTTTTGAAGCCGACAATGCTTTTCTCCCCCAAAA